ACCCTTTAATCCTAAGGTTCATCTGCCAGGGCCGAGCAAGCTTGGACAGTGGCAGTGAGGTCCTCAGGACGTAGGTTTAATTAGAGTGACCTTCTCTTAGATGGATGGCCTTACAGGGCTAAGCGAGCACCATCTGCCCGGGTTTGGGATTAGAGTTGTCCTTCTCCTAGGATGACTGCCAGAAGGCTAACAAGCTCATCCTGCCCAAGAATATAGTGTATCTGGCCCTACGGTTTTCACCTGTCACAATTCATATGTAACAGAGTTACAAAGCCCTCTGTAAAAGAGGAAGAATTCGAATCTGTAAAACAGGACAAATTGTAATAATCCTTTTATTCTTTAAAAAAGTGTAAAGTTCTCATGTCCTCGCCAAAACCATCGTAGAATTTAGGAATGGGACATCAGGATATATTTCTGTTGGTAATTGAGCTGGAGCTGCCAGGATTAGAAGTTTGGTGGGTCTCCCAGATTTCTTGAGCACTCTGGGGATGTGCTACTACAAGAGCAAACACCCTGACTTCTGCTATAGCAACATCATTGCTTTCAAGCTCTGTAACCTGGTGCATATGCCCCATAATTTTAACATATTTTAATATTTTTAGAAATCTTACAATTGGCCTGTGTCAGAGAATCTTTGGGTTTTTTCAGGCTACTTACTGTTTAAAAACTAATTACCATGAATTCCACGGTTCATGTACTTTTGTTTTCCTTAGAGCGTGTCAAGTTAAAAGGGAATGAGAACAATCTGGGGCAGAAGCTGTCCAGCCTGCTCTCATTGGGTGAGGCCTGCAGGATGATTGAGGCGCTGGACAATCCCCTCGAGATCCTGAAGATGTTGATAGATTTGGTCAGTATTTTGTTCATCACAAATCCTTGGGGGAGCACATGCAGCCGTCGGTTTACAAACAGTGCCTTGTTGTGAGATGATGAATGTCTTTCTCTCCTGTGTTCAACAACCCCCAGATGAACAACAAGGAGTCGTCCCTGGCCCACCAGAGGAAGGTCAGCTACATGTTGGCCCATGCCATGGAGCCGAAGGAGGATGTTTTGGGACAGGATGAAGGGAAGGGGCTGTCAGGCCTCACTCACACTTGCTGCCACAGACCCCCTCCAAGAACAGTGTCTCCTCAGTTCCCAGCACAGAAACACACAGAAATCCAGAAAACTCCCTGCAAAAGTTGCTGTCCTGGCCCTTGGGTGGTGCCAGGGGGACGGTGGGGCCGTGTAGCCACACTTTGGAGCAGGTGGATTTTGTAAAAAAGAAACACTTTGTGGAAGCACCAGAAGCCGTCCTGTGATTGCATCACTGCTGTGATGGGCCCACTGACCATCGCTGTGCTGAGAGGGGCAGGGTTGGTCAATTTAATGGTGATTTAAAACTGGATGGAGCATCTGTGGGCTGCCTGAGCTCTCCTTTGCCCTTCCCCGGCCCCACATGGTGACAGAGTAAGAGTGGTGTCACTGTGGGGTGGGCATGTGCTGTCAGAAGGACGAGGGGGGCTGATGGATTGACAGGGACAATTGTGTCTAAACACACAGAGTCAGGTTTAGAAAGGAGACATTGTTTATTCTGCACAGGGTGGAAGGTGGATGTTTCCACAAATCCAGCATACCAACTGTCAAAATCTTTTGCTGTTTATACACTTCAGCAAACAAAGGTGTTAATGTCCATGGGCTACAAGTTACATAGTTCTCTTATTAATTACAGAATCACAGACTCAATTAGTTTGGAAAAGACCTCTGAGATCACCGAGTCCAACCTATGACCCAACACCATGTTGTCAACAGACCATGGCACTGAGTGCCACATCCAGTCTCTTCTTCTCCAGGGATGGTGACCCCACCACCTCTCTGGGCAGCCCATTCCGATGCCCAATCACTTTTTCTTTATAGTTATATTTTATATTCTGTTGGTTAGTGACTCTGTCACTTCTCATGCTAATTAATCTCATGCTCAGTCATTCTCTTCCTTTGGGTTGGGGAGTTTTGGGTTCAGTGGTCACACCCTGCCCCTACTGGAATCACCCTGTATCCAGTGGGAGCTCATTCAGCCCAGGTCCTGAGCTGCCTTTGTTAGTTCCTTCCTCATCTTGGGAGTTCTGTCCTTGTGGCCCACAAATACTGCATTCCCTGTGCCCACTCTTAGTGGAAATCCTTCCCCCAAGCCTTGTTACCCTCCCCCAGGGCTGAGATCACTGAGACACATCCAGTCCTAAACCATAACAAGGGCAAGAAGGGCCTCTCTTGCTTCTTGGGCTTTAAAGTTATAAAGATCAACCATAGAACATCCTTTCTTAGCAAAACTTTGACACATTTCACGTTTTGCAGCAATCAGGCAGGATCCTGACCCATCAACTCCCTCTCATTCCCCCTAACTCTCTGTACAAACTGTTAATCGTTTCTGACTCTATCTGACACACTCACGTCACCGCGGGTTGGGTGTGTGTGTGACATCACGAGACCCGGCAGGGGGCTGACGGAGCGGGAGTGACGTCACCGTGAGGTGAAGGGGTGTGAACGTCACGATAACCGGCGGGGGGCTCACGGAACAGGAGTGATGTCACCGCATGGAGGTGGTGTGTGACGTCCCGCGACTCTGCGGGAGTGCGCGCAGGGGTGAGCTACCCCGTCAATCACAATGCCAGCCCCGCCCCCTCGCGTCGGCTCTGCCCCAGTGGCTGTGGCGGGAAGTGGCGTCGCTGCGCACGCGCGGGGTGGGCACAGCCGGTCCGGTGACGTCACGTCTTTCGTATCCGCGCGTGCGCAGCGCTCACGGAGCAGGGTCGGAGCCGCCGGCGGGGCCGGGGCGGGCCTGAGGGGACGCGGCCCTGAGCCGCTGGTGAGGACGGACACGACGCGGTGCGATCTGAGGCTGCTTCAGTGGGTTAACTGCCCCCGAAGGTTTGAGCGTATTGGTGTTTTTTTTGCTTACTGCTGTTCCACTTGTTTATATATAAGGTATATAGAGTATATATAGGGTATGTAGAGTATAATATTTAGAGAGAGTGCTATGTAGGGTATGTAGTGTATAATAGAGAGGCTATTATGTACGGTGTATAGAGTATGATATATATACAGACAGTATTATGTAGGGTATATATAGGGTAGACAGAATATAATATATCTAGAGAAAGAGAGTATTATACAGGTTATATACAGTATATATAGGGTAGATAGAGTTATACAGTGTATAGAGTATAATAGAAGGAGATGATTATACAGGGTATATAAAGCGTAATGGACAATCTTACCCCTGCACTTCCAGGCATTAAAAGGTTGCCAAACATTCTGTATTTCCATGGAGCTGTTCCTGCAGGGCACTGGCCACTAGTGGGCTCTGGGCAGGGTCTGGGTCCAGCAGAGCAACCTGCTCACTGCCAGGGCTGTCTCATGAGCATCTGGTCATTAACAGTGTAAATCACAGGAGATGGGAATGCTGAGGGAATGTGCCAGGCCTGGTGCAACCCCATTCTCATGGCTCATTTTCTAAGGCTGAGTAATAAGTGCTCACAATAACTATGAGGTAATAACTGGCAGGTGGTGGGGGTGGTGCCCTGGGCAGTGTGTAGGGGCTGTGTCTGTGCAGCTGAGCCCGTGGGTTCCTTACTGGTGGACTGGCTGCTGCTGGTGGCACTGGAGGACTGCTGACAGTCCATAACTGCTTTCTGAATCAGCTGCATTGTGTCCAGGTCTGGGCTCCTCAGGATAAGAAAGACAAGGACCTGCTGGAGAGGGTCCATCAGAGGCCCCAGAGGTGATGAGGGATCTGGAGCATCTCCCTGCGTGAGCTGGGCCTGGTTAGTCTGGAGAGGAGAAGACTGAGAGGGGATCCTATCAATCCACACAAATATCCCCAAGGGATGTCAGAGGATGGTCCCAGACTCTGTTCAGTGGTGCCCAGCAACAGGACAAGGAGCAATGGCCATAAACTGAAACACAACAAGTTCCCCCTCAACATGAGGCAGAACTTCTTTCCGTGGAGGTGACAGAGCCTGGAACAGCTGCCCAGGGAGGGTGTGGAATCTCCCTGTCTGGAGACATCTCAGACCCACCTGGACATATTCCTGTGTCACCTGCTCTGGATGACCCTGCCTGGGCAGGGGTTGGGCTGGGTGATCTCCAGAGGTCCCTTCCAAACCTGGCTGTTCTGGAATCTGTGATTCTCTGTGTGGTGTGAGTGATACTGTTTTCAGTTCAGGGGGGCAAATTTCTTTGGGTGGATGAATGAAAGAGAATCCCCAGGAACTGAAGGTGATGTTGGGATAGAGCTGTCAAAGTGGTGCTGAAGGAGTTCTGTCCTTCTGAGAAGTCTGTGTTGAACTAACAGAATGTTGCTCTTCAAACACAGCAGTTTTTTGTAGTGTGCCACGTATTTTTTTCCTTATGTGTCTGAAAACTTCTGCAACTTTTGTCTTCACCCCCTGATTCAGCTCATAGTCTTGCTGAGGCAACAGCAGCTGGATCTTTTGGGATGGATAGTAGGTTGTCTTGCTCAGCAAGAATAATTTTAGTTTTTATTTGCGTTTTTTACACAACATTTGTTCAGTTGTGCTGAACTTCTCCATCAGGTTGATTGTTGGTGAGTTCCATGGGCAGTTGTAAGCTTAGATGTTTTGTCTGTAGGGCCTCAAGCCTATGGGTGGGGTTGGGGTGTGGGAAGGGGTTGAGAAGGATAAAGCTGGTGTATAGTATAGTATGGCCAGTCTTCGTGAACGAAGATTTTGGGAAAGGTCTTTTAGCTTTTGAGCCACTGAGCCCACCCTTAAATCCTAAGGTTCATCTGCCGGGACCAAGCGAGCTTGGACAATGGCATTGGACAATGGCAGTGAGGTCCTCAGGATGCAGGTTTGTTTAGAGTGACCTTCTCTTAGATGGATGGCCTTACAGGGCTGACGAGCTCCATCTGCCCGGGGGAGTATCCCTGACCGGGAATCGAAGCCGGGCCGCGGTGGTGAGAGCGCCGCATCCTAACCACTAGACCACCAGGGGTCCCCAAGCTGGTGATTAAGTCATTAAATACCCTGAAGGTGGGAGAAGAGGCACCCTGTACTCCGTGAGCTCCTCACTCCTGGAGCACTGTGAACTTGGTGGTTGCGTTTATATCAGAGGCTTTTTTCTGGTTGTGGTAGTTGCTGGAAAAATCCACTTCAATCCTGAGGATAACAGCATTAACACAGCTTTCTGCTCAGGCTAAGTGTAATGATTAAACACAGTGATGGAGCTGAAGTAATGTGACTTAGCAGTGAGTGAAAAGACCTCCCTGGTGACCAGAATTGAGGTGGCTCCTGTGGTGAGCTCTCTGCAGACCTGTGTGCCCCTGTGTGTGAGTTTCTCTGTTTCTAAATCTGTGTTGTTTTAGAAGTTCCATGTATAAGCAGGCGTGGCCTCTGCAGGGAAGATCAGCTGTGGCAAACTGGAGATCTGGTAATGTCCATGTGTGCTGACACTACAGAGAGTGGTTCTCAGGAATTCTTAAACTCCAAAAGGCAGCTTGTCTTCAGACCTTGAACTGGTTAGTTGATAATAATTAACTTACTTGTTCTGGTTTACAAGTTATCAGGACTGAAAACAGCTAACTACCTCCATTTAGAGAGTTTATCTGTAAAAAGGAACCCCTGACATCCATCCTGTTACCTGGCCACTCGGTATCCCAGCAGCTTTGTGCTATCTTCTCCTTTAAATGAGAGTGTGTTGAGAAATCCCCAGTGGAATGTTGGTTCTGAACTCTGGAGACTGTTACAGTTTTAATGTGGCACAATTATTGCCTCTGTTCCATGGGGAAGGTCTGTGTGCAGTTTGAAGTGCTGTGTTAGGAGTGTGTCAGACCATGCTCAAGTGACACGTCCAGGGTGCTTTTTTTTTATAATATTTTATGTTTTTATTATTATTTTCCCTTTTTGTGATGGACTGATGTTTTAGCTTCAAGTCTCCTTGCACATAATTATTTAATTTCTCTTAATCTCAAAGCATGTAGTCTTTAACAGAAAGTGATTTAAATATTGTTTAAAAGTTACTTCTACTTTGAAAAAAAAAGTCTGTAAAACGGAGCTGGTGAGAGCCTGAACTTGTATGTTTCCCTACACTGTTGCCTTAGATAATGTTATAAGCTTATCTGAGGCTTAATGCCTCAGATAAAGTTATAAGCATTAAGTTTTAATAGCTTATTTTTTAAAAATGCCAATCTGTGAACCAGTTTGGAGATTGTCTAGTGAGTGGATTCAGAGCTGTAGAAAACATGTTTGGAAGACGACAGTTCTGTTTACTTAAAACCATATATAGTGGTGGTGCTCCTGATTTCTGATAATCAGAAGTATAATTCTGTTGTTAGGAGTACGATTCTTAAAAGAATACTTTATGGTGATCCAATCTGCCCTGCTTGGGGGGGGGGGTGATTTTATTGTGCGTTTGGGTTTTTTTTTATTGTAGGTCTGTTGTAGAAAAGCTGAAAACCTATCAAAAACATCAAGAAAGAGTAGTGAAATTACAGGAATAATATGCTAGTTATTCAAAGTCAGGTTAATTACTCAAAATGCTTTATTAAGTCAAATGGAACTATTCTATTTCAAAACCAGATTTAATAAAATGTAACAACATTTTTGGGTCAGTAGACTGAGATGTGATAGTTTCCTGAGCTGTGTGTAGAAGTGATTTACTCTGTATTAAGTAGATGAAAATATTTGCATATGATTTCAGTTCTACAGTTCTTTGAGTTCTTTCCTTTTTCAGAGGTCAGTGGGCCAACGCTGGACAACACAAATGCATCCTAATCTACCTATTTAGCATTGTAATCTAATAATGCACTTGTGCTTAATTCAAAATTTGTCATGTGCCACTCAAGAGTGCAAAACAATGAATTTAGATCTTTTAAAATGTAAGATAAAGATAGATGCAATAATTACTTACCTCTCCTCTGTATTTTTTTGAATTAAGAAAGGGTTTTTTTGTAAATTCTGGTGTCATTAAGGTATCTGTTATCTGTACTTTGATGTCTCTCGGTGGATCATCAAAAGCTGTTAATCTTGTAAGTCTCTTAATTGAAATTACTTCCAGTTCAAGTTGTAATGCGTCCAGTTACCAGGAGGTTGTGAAATAGGGTGATTGTTCAGGCAAGGGCTACATTCAAATGAGTGAGGAGAAGTGGCATTAAGTATATATCTCTGCTGCTTGATGCCCTCTAGACAGCTGTGAGAGACCTGGGTTATGGTGCAGTGTGAAGACCTTTGCTCTGACAAATTAATGCAAGTGGATATCAAAAAAATAGCGTATTCAGATTGTTCACTTCTGGTTTATGCACGGGCACAAAGTGCTGCCCTGCTGCATACTACTTATTTCACCTTTCTTATGCCTTGCAAATCTCTGTTTGACCTACACATTGCCTTAAAGTATTCTTGTCACATGCACATTAATGTGGTGAATACTTACATCACATGTGGTGAATAATTCCATATTGATGTAAGTGAATGCACCTGATCTGAAGGATTCACTGAAGGGAAACCTTACACCTCAACAAAGGAAGTTAAGGCACAGTGTGTGAATCTGTAGCTGCAGTGGCATAAGTGATGTGAGTGGATTTGAGTATTTGTTTGGTCTCTAAGCTTTTAGAAGCAACAGTACTAGATGGTCAAAATACATTGAATTGGGGTGGGAGGTGAAGTCAGCCAGTGCAGAGACTGAATGCACTGATAAAAGTAGAAGGAAAACTAGAGAGACCTCCACAGGTGTAGTTTACAGACATTAGACTGAATGGATCTGAGTCCCTTCAGTTTGCTCAAAGGAAGTGTAAATATTGATTTTATTTATAGGGAGTTGAACCGTGTGAGCGTTTAGCCATGAAAATAGATGTGGACTTAGATAGCAATTCAGAGTGACCAAAAAGGCATAAAATTGAGTGGCTGGAAAGGTTCATTAAGCAAATGAACCAGGGTGTTCTGCAGTGTGGAATGTGACTGATTGACAAGTAGCTTTCTGATGAACTGGCAAGTCTAAAAAAAGTGTTTTATGTTCTTGGGGTCTCAGAAGTTCAATTGTTTTTGTGTTTTGAGTAGAATAAAAATGATAAGCTGAATTACCATGCTGGATTTTTAATTTTTATTATTATTTATGCAGTTCAGTTGTGTTGAAGGGTAATAATGGCCTAGTTTGGTTTTTGCCTGTGAACTGTGGTATAAAATGTATATGGAGACAAACTAGAAGATCCTGATATGCCTTCTGGTTTTAAACTTGCTGACATTGTAATGCCATAGTACATGCTTTCAGATGCACTTGTTTTTTATAAGGCAGCCTCAATCTCGTGATTTAAAGTGGATTTTTGGGTGTATTGTGCACAGTGTGCTGGGTGCACTGTGTAGAGCATATTCAAAGTACATGGAGGCTGCAGCCCTGTTTGTACTTAGGTTTTGTCTACATGGAGAGAGAGAAGAAGATGTTAATAAAAAGAAAAAAATACCTTACAGAAGTTGTCTTTTGATACTAACACTTGGGCTTTGTAGACATAAAATTGCTGTGAATGAGATGCTGTTGTTCTTCTTTGTAGGTTTAAGAAGGGTAAAGCTTCACTCGAACTGAGACTAGAATGGACAGTTACTTCAAAGCTGCGGTGTGTGACTTGGACAAGTTGCTCGATGAATTCGAGCAGAACACAGGTTAGTTCCTGCACTGGCTTGTTCTCCAAGTGGTCAAATGGCTGTTACCATAGAATCTGAAAATAGCATATACTAAGTGAGAGCTTGTATGGATGAATAGATGGGATCTAGAGGGAGTAGAATGTGGAAGAAGAGGAGTTTTACAAACTTTGTTTTGATCTCTTCTTCCTAAACACAGATGAATATGACTGCCTCAGAACACCTCAAAACCCATGTGACTCAAAACACCGTTCCCTATTCTCAGTCGTGGGGTGCTTACAACATGCATTCCCAGCACCAGAGCTGCCAGAGGATGCTGATAGCTGCCCTTCCCCAAAGAAGACCCCTCTTGCTAGCCACGCTGGGACGAGGAGTATGCTGCTCAGTCACTCACCACCGCAGGAGCAGAGTGTTGCTGGACCTGATCTTCTGTCCACTGTGGACAGTGGTTCCGTAAATGAAATGGAGGCTTCTAGCCTGGGAAGGTGTGGCATACCTGTGTGTGATCTTGTTAATGACACGGCTGATTTAATCCATGCTCACCAAGGTTCTCAGAAGTCGCAGCCAGATGACTTCCAGTGCAGCCAAGGGTCAATTGGCTTTGGCCTGTCTTGCATACCTGTTCCTATTTGTGTGTCATCATCTGGTTGCAGGGGTGCTTCCAGCACAGAGCAGAGTGATGGGGACTCAATGCTTCAACATTCAGGGCACCTCACAACAGAGGAAATGAATCATTTAGCTTTAAAATCAGACAGTTACACTACAGGAGAGATCTCGGATTCATGCGATGATCAACACAGGACAGAACCTGTAAAGTGCAGTGAAGTACTTGATCAGCCTGAAAAAGCTGCTCACCTTGATATTGAATGTGTCCCTGTAACAACACAGAATTCAAATGCAAATAGTCCCAAAGATGAGAAAGCTTGTGAAAAACTGCCTTGTGAATCAGAAGATGATAGTGCATGTTCTGCAGTAAGCAAAGAGATGCATGGAGGAAATGCCATAGGAAAGGGAGACCCAAAAGATGGGACTAATGCTGTATCCGTGCTTTCAGATCTGCTCAAGAGGCATCAGGTGCACAAAACCCATGCAACATTACCTGGAATTTGTGTTGCACCAGGCTCCTCGTGTCAAACAGGAGCTGAAGTACAACTGGAAAAGAAAATCACAGAAGACAATGTATGTAGTGAAGAACTTAACAGCAGCGAGACACTAAGGAGTGTTTCCAGTTCGTGTATTTCAGCTGAGGATGTCCAGACCTCTCTGTCATGTCTCCCTATGTCCATGTGCGGTTCATTAGTTGTAACAGAAGAAAAGGTTAATCCTCTACCTCAGAATGCAGTGGCAGAGGTTATTAGTGGTACTGTAGCTGTTCATTCTGGAGCATCTAAAACTGATCCCTCTGGCAGGGAATCCTGTGAAAATACTGACTGGCATGAGCAGGAAGAATATTTAGCTGAAATCAGCAAAAGTATTGTGGAAAACAGTGAGGATGGAGCGCAGTGCAATGTTCAGAGTGTAATTGATGGTGGTGACTCTCAGGAAATTGAAGCTTTTGCTTCTGCTTTTCTAGACCTTGAGGTTGAGCCATATGGTGTTGGTGTGGACAGCTTCTATGATGAAAGTATGAGCCCAGTTGTGGCTGACCTTACTGTGGAGGAGAGTGTTATTAAAAGTGATATTCTAGTCAGCGACGGTGAGCTTGATGATTTCTTGTACGGACAAAGTCTGCAGTCCAAGGTGTTGAAGTCTTCAGACAATGATAGTAACTTAATAGAAAATTATGCAAATGAAGGGAATGTAACAGATGTGAACAACCTGGATTTCACAGAGATCACTGAAGAATTTATGCAAGCAAAACTGGAGGAGACAATAAGCATTAATAGTAATGTTAAAGCATCTCTTCCTGCCAGCTGTTTGGAAGCTGCAGCAGAAGTTAATGTATCTCATGGTCAGGATGTGACTGAGAGTGGCAGTGAAGCTCTGGCTTCAGATGTTCCTAATGAAGGTGCAAGACCAAAGCAGTTGCTTGGCCTTTCCCAAGGAGCTGCTGGTCAGAAACAACTGAACAGAACAAATGTACTTGAGAGAGAAAACCAGGAACATGGTTCTGTTACCCCAGAAGTTCCCCTCTCAGGCAGCAGTGTAAGTGCTAGTAAGAACTCTGACCCTGGGGAAAGCATCTCTGAAGCTGGAGGAGACCAAACATCTGAAAACACAGAGTCACTTAAAACACCTGCAGCTCTGCTGTGGAAACAGCCACTGTGGGTCCCTGATTCAGAGGCCCCCAACTGCATGAACTGCCAAGTGAAATTCACGTTCACAAAGAGACGACACCACTGCCGAGCTTGTGGGAAGGTGAGTTCTGGGAGAGGGGTCCTGTGCTGCTGAAAGGAAATGGATTCTGATTTAGGGATGACCAAAGCACAGGAGGGAAAGAAGATTGACACAGTTTTTCTATGCTCAAAGTATTTATTTAACAAAAAATAATTTTCATTTTCCCATCATAGAAACTTAAAGACTGTTGAACAAGACTGATATCTTGTCATATTTTTTGTGAAAATTCTTATTAAAGGGATGTACGAAGAATATTCTTTATCTTTCAATGCTGGCTTGTCTAGTGTTTTGCATAGAACAAGGGAGATGAGATGATGGACTACTTCATAGTAGTCATAGTGAATCAGCTTTTTGCTCAGCTTTTAAGTAAAATGTCTAAGTTTTAAAAAATTGAGGTGATGCTGAGAATTCAGGTAAGTGGTTATACTATCTGTAAAGCACTGTCCATGAACCTGGAAGGATTGCAGTCTTTCAGGAGCTGTAACAGTAGTACAAGAGTAAAGGATTTATAGCCTAAATCTGTTCTCCTGCATGTTTAGATGTATAATTTTCCAGGGAATTTGTCTCAGGGGAAAATACAAAACAAGTAGTTGTAGAACTTTTTTCAGCCTATGGTCTTCTGCAGTGAGTAAATGATGCCACATCTTATCCTTAATTCAGAATTCCGTTGTGAGCTATTGTGGCTTACACTTGTAGTGATGCATAAATGGAAATACTGTCAATACTAATGAACTTATTGTTCAGTGTTGCTCTGTAAGATTTAGGGATGAGGAGATAGAGCAAAGACTAGTGTCAGTACTAACTTTTTGCATCCCTGGTGCTAAGAAGCATCTGGAGAGGCTCAGTAGGTTTTTTTCCCACCTCTCTTCTAGCACTGTGTGTTCAAAGCTTGGTACTCGTTTATTTCAATTGCAGTAGGTGTGAAGTAAAATGTAGGTCTGAATCTTGAGTGCCAAGATAAGGAAGAACTCATTGTGCCAACCTAGAGCTCGTTGAACTTACTGCCAGAATATGCTGTTGATGTTCTGTGGTGGTTTAAAATGCAGTTCTTCAGAGTGGGTTTTGTTTTGTCATGAGACTGACCGATTTTAGGTTCCTGTTTTACATTTTACTGTGAAGTTCCTTGCACCTTGTTTGGAGATGGGGATGGAAGACCCTTCACTGCACACACCCTGTTTACAGCTGTAGGTGTGTTAGCTGAGGGGCTTTTGGCAGAACAACAGTGTAGTTAGAGGGAGCATCGCAATCTGTGTTCATTAGGAGAGCAAGTGAAGGCAGTATAGGTTATCTATACCTTGCAGATGGTGCAGTGCTATGCAGTTGTAACTCTGGCACAGCTTTTTTGAATGTTTAACTTTTTGACAGACTTTTTGTCTTTTTAATAGTAACTTTTTGTCTTAGAAAAAAACAAACATTCCTTGTGAAGCTGTTGTGTGGTGTTGTGTTTTCAGCCACTTGGGACATAAGGAAAAACTGGTAGGAATTCACAGTTGTCCTGTGTGGACTATTCTAGAAGACAATTTTATACATTCCTATTATCCATCATCCTTTTTTACCAATGAACATGGCAACGCTCGTGGATTCTGGCCTCTGTGCTGGAGGGAAGTGAGAGGTTAGTGGGCCATGCTTTCTCTCCCAGCTGCAGCACTTGTGAGGCCAAACAGCTTTGCAGTTCCTTTACTGAGGTGTTTGTCTCTTGTCGTGGTGTCCTTCCTAGTTCAACCTGCTTCACTCAGCAGCCCCATCTTCACCTCCTTTCCCCTGTCCCTTAGTTTGTCTTCACCTTTTAGATGCATTAGGATTAATCTTCCTGCAATCCTCTGTGGGTCCCAGTGTCACCAAGGGTATGAGGAGAATCCCCGTTGCAGAGGATTGTGCTGCCTTAGCATTTGAAGCCCTAAGATGGATCGTGACTGATTAGCAATTAAACCTCATCAGTTACACTGTTAATATCTGTACTGAGCATGTGTGTTTTCAGTTGAGGTAAATTACCTGGGGCACTAATGCAGAAGCACTTGAAATAGTTTCTTTTTTCAGCTCAGATTGCACCTATCAATTACTACTGGTTTTATAGTGACCTTTCCTACTTAAAGGAGTTCACTTGTAATAACTTGATTTTTTTTTCTCTGTCACCACTGTTTTTGGTTGGTTTTTTTTCCAGTTGGTCCACTTTGTTTTCCCGGAGGTAATCAGGAGTAGAGAAGACTTTGAATGTTCTTTCCACTTACTGAACTCTGGTCAGTGGTAGAAGGGTTCTGTCAGATCAAGGTTTCAGGAGACCTTTTGTAAGGCTGATACTCTGGAGTCTGCTTATGGCTAAAAATGGTGTGACCTTCTGAAAACTTGCAGATCACCCTTGAAAGAACATAAGGGAAAAGCAACAAAAGCTCTAGTTATTTATGTCAACTCTTGCAAAGACCCAGCTTTACTAAAGATGTAATTTTTTGAAGGGGATTGTGCAGGTGTAGTCCAGGCTAATGAGACAAACTTTTTTCCTCATCTCTGCTTAAAAATAGACAAGACGTATATGCTTTTGGAGTAGGAGAGCACATTGTGTTCTTTCAAAGCAGCTTTCTTTTCAAATACCCTGCTGAAGGGAGCTTGTGACATGAAGGGAAGGATGCTTATTCTTCCTGAGAGAGTAGGAGAGCCTACTTAGCTGACATGGCACCTGAGCCAGATGGGTGAGTAGCTCGGGAAGCTCTGGCTTACGTTGTTATCTGTGAGGTGGAAGACGCAGCTTGGAATTTCATAGCAGACTGGTAACACGTGTTATGGAGAGATTTGGTGCAGCTGCAGAAATGATTCTGAAGCAGTAAAGCAAATCTGACCCCAGTTCTGGGACTCAGTCCTTGTTTCTGTTGTTTAATGTAAAATAGTTACGGAACTTCACTAGGAGTGAATTTAGGAATAGGTGTTGCAATCTGAAATTCTTTTCATCACCCCAGATAAGAATTTTAATATAATGCCACTTGGGTCCTCCATGTTGTTGCTTTTTTGTTGTGCACATATTGTGGGTTTTGTTCTTGTTTTTTGTTATTTTTTTTTCTTGGTTTGAATATAAGGTTGCAGATGGTTTAGAATGAAACAAATGTATTTCTCAGAAGAGTTTTCTAATTCCTGAGCAATTGTAGACCACACAATATGTCTATAATATTTAATCCAGTCCTTTTCTGATTCAGGTTTTTTGTGGTAGCTGTTGCAAACGAAAATGCAAACTACAGTACATGGAGAAGGAGGCAAGAGTCTGTACTGGCTGTTACAATGACATTAATAAAGGTAAAAAGTTTTCTTTGAGTAATTGCAGTAACTAGTAAAGTATCCCTCTTTAACCTTTGCTCTTTTGGGGGAGCTTGATTATTTTAATTGGTGTATGCTTTCCTGTTGCTGAGATGGAGGGATGAAGAGAATAATTGTACCTCCTCACTGGATTTCAGTTCTTATTTTAAACTTTAAGTAGCAAGTTGGTGATTTTTATTAAAGAAAAAAAGTAGTTTTTAACTCTGTAGGACTTAATGTGAAGCTATACTGTTGGGTCATCTGTGACAGGGGTTCTAGCAAAAGAGATCCTCCCTCCACAGTAGCCTTCTGTGTGTTTAAAGGCCATGTCCCTGCTTGTTCTCACATGTTATTTGCCCATTTTATGTAGCTTCCTGTCCTAATGTTTTTACAAGTCACATAACAGCACTGCAGTAATTGAACCATCAGATAACCTTTCCTTAGCTGGAAGGTAAGCATGGGTGCTTATGGAAACATCAGGAGAAAACACTGATGTTCTGTTGTTTCATATTTAAATAACAATATGTCAGATTTTTAATATGCCACCTGAATGGAATTTGACCTGATAAATGTGATCTGTGTCTTTGCACCAAGGTACGGTCACTGCAGCAGTACCAGGAGGTACGGGGGTTTCTGTCATGAGAACCAATCTGGCAAATATGCAGGCAGAAAACAAATGTAAATTTTCTTCCCTGCAATAGTCTGAGTGTGCAGATCACAAATTGTGCACTGCTTTTGCCAAAAACCCCTACCCAAAGTACCACACTGCAAATGAAATCTAATCATTTGAGAGATCTGAAAAACTAACCACATTTTTTTAGCACAGGCATTTGAAAGGATGATGAGTCCAACTGGTCTTGTTCCCAGTTCCAGTGTCTTCTCTGAACATTCTGCTGTTCCACTGGTAGAGGAAGCCCAGATGCCTGGTAGTGCCAGCTCCCCTTCACCTTCTGCATTGTTGCCTATCTCAGCCCTTAAACAACCTGGTATTGAAGGTACAGCTGCTATAAACAGTATAGATCTAACAATTCCAGGGTCTCTTTGGAAAGAGTCACTTATTGCATGTTAGATTTGTACTTGGTATATTTTTTATACATTTTTGGTGGTGTTTTTTGTGGGAAATGTAAACTCTGTGAATGGGACACTGGACAGTTACTTTCACTTCCTGGTTTTGGTGCCAGGTCCAAGTCGGTCCTAAATCTCTGTTTATGAAATGTGGATGTTGCTTTTTTCATTGTCTTCTCCTTTTTATTATAAATCTTTTGTGTAACTTTTATAATTTTTACGTGTCTTGGGAGATTTCTGGCTTGTGTTGTGACTGCCATCTTACAGTAAAAAACAAGAAGTAGCTGTTTAGGGACAAGTTGAAAGGGAACAGTAGAGGTTCATTGTAAATAAAAATGTGACTAAGTAGTGTCTTTGTTCCACTTTTATTAAACATTTGACCTTCTTCAATGGAAATAAATTTTTAAACAAAGTGATAAATTAACTTTCTTAGATGTATTTCATCTTTTAGCTGTAATATGCACTTCATTCTTACCTTAGTACAGCGGGATGATTGAGGAATTAGCCTTCCTTAGATATGAATTAATAGATTTAATTGTAACATGGTAGCTCCCAAGTAGGAGATTTTCTGCATGTATTTGCCTGACTGGAGGTTGGCTGGTGTCAAACTCTATCTCTGCTTAATTCCACTAAACAGATTCTCCATGTATTTGGCGGGGAGAAGGGACTTACTTTTTATCCCTTTCAGGCATTGGAACAGTGCAATATTGTTATTGTTTTCTTACCTTCTCCCAGGGCTGTGCCCCAGAGAGCAGAGGAGGGTCTGGTTTGCAGATGGTATTTTGCCCAATGGTGAAGTGGCAGACACGACAAAACTGTCCACTGGAGCCAAGAGGTCGTCACAGGACTTAAGTCCATTGAACCCTGACTTGCCAGAGACTCATATGGTATAAGTGTGGAAGTGTGTGAATGTGCATAAATTATGTGTTAAATACCTCTGCCTGCTATTGATGGGGCCTCTTACATCCATAACAGTTCTGCTTTTGGAATCTGAGACAGTATTTGAGTATTTTTTTGGAGGTGGCTGTGAAGTCCTTGGATTGAAAAACTCTGTAGTAATTTTCATTTCTAGGAAAACTGAAGGAAGGCTTTCAAAGGAAAGCATTGTTTGGTTTGGGGTGTCTGTGAACTTCAAAAATGGTATGGCAGAAAGTTTTCCAAAACTGGTCTTTTTTGCACACAGCCTTTCATTAATTACTTCTATGACAGTTCTTAAACCTGTCACTAACAACAGGCTTGTAGTAGAAGTTTGTGTTTGGTTTTGGTTTTTATTTTTTCCCCAGTGGTTTGCTGTAGTTTTCCTGTTGGATTAGACTAGCCAGAATTTGCGTAATGCCCTGGAATACTCCATTATAGGGTGCAGCAAAATCTGTGTATTGCTTCTAACGTGAACTAATACTAAACTGAGAGGGGGATTGGCTTTTTTTATCATGGATCACAGTCATGGTGTTGAACTAGCTGCACTTTACAAAAAAAGTCCAAAGAAGAGGTCTAAGTTTGCTGTGGAAAGATTTGGAGAGGTTCCGCAGCTGAAGCCTTTTTAAGATAAAACATAGCTCTGACATGCTGTCTCAAGTGATAATATAAATTCTATAATTCTCACAGGACCCAAGAGTTTTTAAAATACATCAGTAAAAACCCAGACCAGATCATTATTATTTGTATATGGAGGATCTGGACACTTACCAGGTACATAGCATCTAAATCAGCTTTTATTCATGAAGAACAAATAATAGTAGATGTGAATTCATTTGAACAAGTAAGGACTCCAAGAAGTTGCAGTAATGAAAAGGTATAGCCTGTCTCACATTTTGGGGAAAGAGTAGGATATTTTCACTTGCAAAATATGAGCAATGTCTAAAACTAAAAGCATCATGGACAAAGTGAGTGGGATACAATTGGCACAGTGCAGCTCTGAAGCAAAGGTAACACAAAATCCGGACCGTGAAGGCAAAAAATACCAAGTGATATGAAACACCAGCAAGCAAATGCCTGGGGAAGAAGTCTGTTATTGGCCCGTGTAGTCATGTTTCTGTCTGCGTGTTTGTGGAGTGGTACTTTTGGGGTTGGTGTCCTTTTATTTTTTATTCTCTGGTAGCGTATTCAATAAATGGAGGATTTGCTGGAAGTTGATGGGACATCAGGAGAGCTCCTACAGGCAAGCATAGAATTGTCAAGTGTTTTCCTTGTTGCAATATAAAATTCTTCCCTATGGAGATAGAATACAAGTCTCGTGGACTTGATAGCACACCTCTCAGGGTTTCTTTTGCTTATTTTTTAATGACAGCTGATATCCTGATGTGCCCATGTTCACAGCTTGTCACACCCATCTCACTGGGGAAGCAGCACAGATTTGACTCCAAGCTCAAAATTAATCAGATGTAAAATCAACTATTGGTATAGAGGGTAGAAATACCTTTGCAGTACTAAAATGCTGATCCAAGTAATGCTCAGTAGCTGTGAGTGGCAACACCAATAGCAGGCAGATTCCTGAAGGGGCACCTGGTGTGTTGATTGTGTCACATCTGACTGTCTGTGCTAGAACAACCATTTGTGTTGTCAAACAAATAAATTAATGATGCAACTTCACCTATGTAATGCCTAAACATTAAAAAAAAGAAGATCCAGGAGAGATTTGGTGGCTTTCTTCTTGTTAGGAGGAAAATGCATTCTCAGCATTTGTGATAGCTTTCTTTCTCTTTTTGCATCTAGAATGCAGATAACGAAAGTTTAGCTGGTTGTGGGACAGTGTAGAATTTTTGTTATTTCTTCTTCATAGGCTGCAAACCCAGAGGAAGATGACATGTTAACTGATGTAAATCAAAAATGGAAGGAAGAAATTGATATTATGACAAGAAGGGAGGAAACACATCCTTCTGTTCCTTCAGACAATGCACAGCACGGTGTCCCAGGCCAGAGTGAGGTGGTACCTAGTTACGAATCTCTAGGAACTGAAGAGTGTTCTCCTACTGCAGAGGCCAAGAAGACCAGTTGCAGTGCAGTGCATCAGGCTGCACATGATGTGTCTGTTAGTCCTTCAAGTTACAGAGCACTGTGTGGGGTCGAAAAGTGTGTGCGAAGAGACATCAGCCTTCTTCCTGATGGGGATAACCTGCCACCACTTCTGCTGGCAGTGGGTGAAAAAGGAAAAGGTAAAATCTGAGAAAACTGCTAATATTTAGTCATAGAATCATAGAATGGTTTGGGTTGGAAGGGACATTAAAGCCCATCTGTTTCCACCCCCTGCCCGGGTTGCTCCAAGCCCCGTCCAGCCTGGCCTTGGACACTTCCAGGGAGGGAGCAGCTACAGCTTCTGTGGGCAACCTGTGCCAGGGCCTCACCACCCTCCCCCCTCACAGGGAAGAGTTTAAATCACCTGGTGCAAGTTTTCTAAATATGAACTGGTGAGCATATAATTTGTATTCTAATACAATTCTACTGTCATTTTTTTGTTGCGTACTGGATTCTTGGATAATTGAACATGCATTATTAACAGGATCAATGTGTTATGAGAAGGATGCTTTGTCATTTGAATAAATTATAGTGGTGTCTGTGCTCACCAGTAGTACCTGACAGTATCAGTGCATGGATGAGGAGCCAGGACACTAACTAGTCAGTGATTTCCAAAGCAATGGTAGCCCCAGTTTGCACTTTTGTTAGAAGCTGCTACTTCAGTGTTAGATGTTCCTTGAATCTTAGGGTGAGCTGTTCATTGGTTGATCTGCAGCTATTCTAAATTTGGGAATAACTACCACCCTCTTAAGGGAGGAGGGTGGGACAATGTGTCATATGCTATGAACTAATGCTTGGTTTGGGTCACTGGCTGATGTGTTGAACTAAATTGTGTGTTAATTTATTTAGATCCCGTGGTGGAGGAACATCCATCTCATGAAAAGATCACCTCGCTGCTTGGGGAAGGAGGTTCTATTCCATTAACTTTTATCCTAAATGCAAACTTGCTTGTCAATGTCAAGCTAATAACATGTAAGTATTGCACATTTTCTTTTCCATTAAATCCAGCTTTGTTTTTCTAACAGCATTACTGTGATGTCTTATCTTCTTAAAGGTTCCTCAGAAAGGTGCTGGTGCTTCTCAACCAATGGACTGCATGGTTTGGGTCAGGCAGAAATTGTCATTCTGTTGCAGCGTTTGCCAGACGAAGATGTTTTCCCCAGTGAAATGTTCAAATTATTTCTTGACATCTATAAGGATGCAATGAAAGGTGTGTAATTTTTAATGTCCATCCAACTTTTTATTTTATAGCATCTTCTTGCAGATCTTTCAAGTTAAATGTTGATATGTAATTTTTCTTGAAGTATTTGTAAGTGTCTAATGATTCTGATGAAAGACCTTGCAGTGGGTTGGGCTTCTAAATAACAGAAATAAAAGAATTTAAGTTTATTTGTTTCCTATACTTCTGTTAACATCCTGTTTGCAGGCTCTCTTTTTGTTGTTTAGTTACATTGTGTTGGAGATCCTGCGTATAAGCCTTTGAGTCTGTGGTTTAGAGCATCTGGCATGCTATTTGTAGAATAGTAGCAACTGTTGTGTGCCACTTCAGGATTTCTGGAATTTGTTTGAAGTAAAACTAGTTTTGTATTCAAATTCATTTAGTTACAAAATACAGAGCACTTATTCTGTGGGTTTAGATGTCTGGCAGACTTCAGGAGGGTCTGAAATCCACCACAGGCCTGCAAGTCTATCAGAGGTCACTGGTTAGAACAGTTCTCTTGGCACTAATGTTTGGCTGACCCAGATGTGCAAACTCTCTGTCCCTCTTTCTACAGGAAGGTTTGTAAGAAACATGGAAAACATTACTTTTACTGAAAACTTTCTCAGCAACAAAGAGCATGGAGGATTCCTGTTTGTTTCACCAACTTTTCAGAAACTTGATGATCAGATTCTACCGGATAAGCCTTTTCTTTGTGGCATTCTCATCCATAAGCTGGAAATACCCTGGGCTAAAGTGTTTCCAATCCGTTTAATGTTGAGACTGGGAGCAGAATACGGGGGTAAGTTTTAACACTTTCTATATAACACTTGACTGAGACCCCTGGTGGCCTAGTGGTTAGCGTGCAGGACTTTCACTGCTGCGACCACGGGTTCGAATCCCCGGTCTCCTGGCCTGATGGAGGTCGTTAGCCCTGTGTGGCCATCCATCTATGAGAAGGACACTCTAAACAAACCTACGTCCTGAGGACCTCACTGCCATTGTCCAAGCTCGCTTGGCCCCGGCACATGAACCTTAGGATTAAAGGGTGGGCTCAGTTCAGCGCAGGCTGTGTCTCACCTAAAAAATCCATTGCAGAGGCTGGAAAGGTAAAAGACCTTTCCCCAAATCTTCGTTCGCGAAGATGGGCCATT